ATACAGTCCCACGGAGGCTTTTGATTGTTGAAAAATTTTAAAAAATTTAAAAAAAAAAAAAAAAAAAAAAAAAAAACAAATACATTTCATGTTAAGTGTTAAAATATTATGGAATCCATTTGTTCCATGTGAACAAAGCGATAATTTATAAATGTGTTGTGCAATAAACTGTCATGTTTAAACTAATTTTTTTTAAACAATATATAACTGTATAAATACTGTACATAAAAACACTCCTATTTTGCAAGTAAAAGATTCACTTTTTACTGTTGTTATACATTAAAAGCGCAGCTGATGAAAATTCTTTTTGTTTCATTGCTTCAGTTATTGGTGCAGTCTGTGTTGCACAATGGAGGGACGGGTGACATTTTGTTTCCTTTCAAGAGGTTCATAACACTTTCTGTTTCTTTCTTTTTTTAATGCTCGCAACTTTACCAATGATTGAAATGGTGAAATTTGTGAAAAATAATCACTTCTTCAATACAGTAGAAACGTATTCTAGATGCTATTTTCGTGCTATTCCCAAATAAACCTGGAGAGATTCATTTTTGCCTCTGTTTAAAACAAGTAAAAAGTCAGAAGATTCTTATTTTTTGTGAAACATTCATAGTGCAGTCATATGTAAATCAAAAAACTATTTGTTAAAAATAAAAACACACTTTTCTTGTCAAAATTCTGCCACTTCAGCTGTGCCCTGTGAGGTAATTTTGAAGTCAAAGTGAGCTCTGCCACATATAACAGGATAATCTATTGTTACTGTGTTAGACCATCATTAGCATCCTAATTTAATAGAAAACTCATATTGAACTTTCATGGGAAAGTGGCCAAATGCAAGACAGAGTTGACCTGAAACGCCCAGGAGCGCATCTATCATTCAGTGATTATAAGTTCACGCTTTGCACAACTAATTTTCCCTGAGAATGACTAAATTAATAACATATCAGACACATAACTTTAACACTCATGAATCTCTTAACAGAAGTAGCCAATTAGTTCAGTTTCAGTTTCAAAATTAAAATTTAGTTTTTTCCTATGAGAACTCAAAGAAAATACAAATATATTTACTGTAAAGCAAATGAAACGATGCAAAACTTAGATTATAGGATATCCACATTTGGCAGGAATCTACTTGTGCATTTGGTTAGACTTAAATGCACGTGTTGTTTTTATGTAAAGCCCACCAAAAGAAAGGGCCATTCTATTTTCAGATCAAACACAAGTAAAGCCTT